CAAAATGCCAGCATAGCTGTGCACCTCTGGCACAACCCTACACCTCTGGCACAACCATACACCTCCAACACAACTGTACATTTCCAGCACGACTGAACACTCGATTTTGTCCCCTGGTGGAACCCCAGCAAAGATGAGCCACCAGGAAAGTCTGGCAAGAGCAGGGAACAAACTCCCCCTCAGCTCACCACGTGCAAATGCACTGCAGGCAGGTGAACCCAATGGAGAGGCAGACAGGACTTGTCCCCAAATGCCTCACTCAGGGACATCCAGGGTGACCCTGGGTTGGGTGTCAGTAGGAAGAGTAACTGAGGGCTCCCTCCTTGGGAGCCAGGAGGAGAGGAAAGCAAAGGGATCTCTGCCAGAGGATTCACAAATGTATCCAATTGTATAAAGGGTCCCCTGCTAAAAACTGGGAGCTGTAACAGATCAGCAGTGTGGAGGCAAACAAGTCTGATGACTGGCAGCCACCACCCAGGCTGTGGTTGCCGTGTTGGCACATCCAGCCAGAGAGACATTTTGCCAGGCGTGATGGACCATAGGGGACAGAAAAGGAACAGGGAAACAAGGCAGCCAAGGAAGTGACACAAGCAGCAAATGTCCTTTGACTTTTCTACCCTACTGCAGCTCCAGGTGGTTGTTTAAATTCCACAGTGTATTAAGCCACAGTGGGTTTTAGATACCTCCAAAACATAAACCACACTTTGTTCACATGCACAGCCCTTTGCAGCCCCCAGTCCTGCAATTACAGCTCTGAAATGAGGGGGAAATGCAGAGAAAAGAACTGCTCCCCCCACCAGTAGCCACTCAGACCCTTGGGACCTCGGCTTCCGAAGCAGACCTGGACTTTCTCCTGCTGCTCAGGCTGCCCAGGACTGACTCCTCACTGAAGGCCCCTTCAAAGGTGGACAGGATGGACTGGCGAAACTTCTCCTTGAAATCCGGCCCCACGAATACATACAGGATGGGGTTGATGCAGCTGTTGAAGAAAGCAAGGCTGGAAACCACGGGGATCCCTATGTAAAGGGCCATTCTCACCTCACGACTGGAAGAGTTTCTGGATATTTCCAGCAAGGAGAAGACATGATAGGGGAAATAACAGAGGAAAAACGAGACTGTGACAGCAATGATGATTCTGTATGGCTTGGCAGAGCTGGCCAGCTGCCTCCTCTTCAGCTTGACAGCAACGATGCTGTAGCAGATGACAATCACCGTGAAAGGGATGAGGAACCCACACAGGAAGCGCGTTACGATCATCGCTTTGTGCCGCATCCTCCACAGCCGCTGCGTCGCCTCGGACGTGTAGTCATCGGAGAGTGCAAAATTGTTGTAGCAGCTGGTGGTGTTCCTGGAGCTGACCACAGTGTCCCGAAAGACCAGGTACGGGGAACTGAGGAGGAGAGCCAGGACCCATGTCCCCAGTGCGACCCTGGCTGCCAGCTCTGGGCTCCTGTGGTTGTGAGACCAGACGGGAAAGGCCACGGAAACGCAGCGGTCCACGCTGATGACCATCAGGAGGAAGACACTGGCAAACATGTTGAGGAAGGCGATGGTGCTGTTCAGCTTGCAGAGGAGCTTCCCAAAGGGCCAGTGGAAGCCCAGGGCGGTGTAGGCGATGCTGAGGGGCAGGAAAAAGGTGAAGATGAAGTCAGCAATGGCCAGGTTGAGGAACCAGATGGAGTTCACTGTCTTCTTCATCTTGAAGCCTGCGATCCAGATGACGAGGCCGTTCCCTGTCACCCCCAGCACACAGGCGATGCTGTACACCACCATGGAAAGGCAGTGCATGCTCTTCTGGAGGCCAGAGGAGTCTTCATCAGCAGTGGTGTTCTCAGGCAGCACGGTGGGGGAACTGGTGTGGAAGGGGGAAGAGGAAGAAGAGATGTTCTCCATCACCAGCCAGCCTGTGTCCTGGAATCATGACAGCACACACTGCTGTTATCTGCTGCTCCTACAGCTCAAGATGTGGAAAGCTTTGCTACACAAAATGTACATGCAAGCCCAGAGTGTTTAACTTAATATAGAATTAATATAAAGTCCTTCTCTGTAGCATCTGCGTGTCACAGGAACCACCATGACCAGAGAGACCCACCCAGGTTTTGCTGTCAGTGTTGGTGCTGTCAGAGCAACACCTGCACCAAGGGCCTACAACAGCAATCCAACAGGAGCCACAGAAACCTAAACCCGAGTTCTCTGCAGGTGACCAGTGAAAATTAAGGGAGCAAAACCCAGCTAGACTGAACAAGATTCAGTTTAAAGACTGTTCCTTCAACAGGGACCTTCCTGTGAGGTGCACTGTCCTACTGGAATGGTACCCACAGTGTGTTCCAGTGTCACCATCAGCCTGTCACCCACAAACCACCCTCCTGGTGGTTCCCTTTCCCAGCCCAGCACCTCAGCAGCTCCTGCCTGGACTCACCACGCTCCTTGGCTGCTCTGGTGCTGCCTGCCAAGGGTCTCTCTTCCCAAATGACTCCCCTTCGAGACGCTGCTCCTCTCTGGACACTGACTCATGCTGCCTCGTCCCATTTTCCCATGGCTCGGGATCACGGGGTATTTAGTGGGATCCCTTATTCCTGCATCGTGTTCCTCAATCTGCGGTGCTTTGATTTAACCCCTGCAGCCCCAGGTGGCCCAGGCTCCTGGAGCCGGCTGACCGAGCCCATCCACAGACTGGGATGCAAAGCTCAGGAACACACGGACCCCCTCCCACCTGCCCCCCTCAACCCCCGAGGCAGCCCCTTCCTCCCGAGCACCGGGGGGGGGCTCCCCTG